AACCATCAATACACAAACCCCAACAGATAATCTAGATAACTGGGATCTTCTAAAAATCAAACACCTGAGCTCTTCAACAGGCTTCACCAAAAGAATAAAAAGAGAACCTACAGACCGGGAAAAAATTTTTAGACAGTACAAGTCAGACAAAGGTCTAATCTCCATAATCTGCAAGGAAATCCAACACCTCTATAACAAAAAGACAAATAATCCTGTTAAAAAATGGGCAAAGGAAATGAACAGACACTTCACCAAAGAAGACATTCAAGTGGCCAACAGACACATGAGGAAATGCTCGCGTTCACTAGCTATTAGAGAAACACAAATTAAAACCACAATGAGATACCGTCTCACCCCAAAATTACTGGCACAAATCAAAAACACTGGAATAACAAATGTTGGACAGGCTGCAGCGAGATCGGAACTCTTATGCAAGGCTGGTGGGAATGCAAAATGATACAACCATTTTGGAAAATGATACGGCACTTCCTTAGAAAGCTAGAAATAGAAATGCCATACGATCCAGCAATGCCTCTCATAGGAATATATCCCAGAGAAATAAGAGTCGTCACACGAATAGACATATGCACACCCATGTTCATGGCAGCATTGTTCACAATAGCAAAAAGGCAGAAACAACCTAGATGCCCATCAACAGATGAATGGATAAACAAACTATGGTACATATACACAATGCAGTACTACGCAACGATAAAGAACAATGATGAATCTGTGAAGCATCTCATAACATGGATGAAACTGGAGGACATTATGCTGAGTGAAATAAGTCAATCACAAAAGGTCAAATATTGTATGAGACCTCTATTGTAAAAACTCATGAAAAAGTTTACACACAAAAAGTAACAATCTTTGTTGGTTACGAGGGATGGGAGGGGTTAGGGGGGAATACTAAATAGACAATAGATAAGTGGTATCTTTGGTGAAGGGTGAGACAGTACACAATCCTGGGGAAGCCAGCATAACTTGTACAAGGAAAGGTCATGGAAGCTCCATAGACACATCCAAACTCCCTGAGAGACTGAATTGCTGGGCGGAGGGCTATGGGGACCATGGTCTCGGGGAACATCTAGCTCAACTGGCATAACACAGTTTAAAAAGACAATATCCTACATTCTACCTTGGTGAGTAGCGTCTGGGTTCTTAAAAGCCTGTGGGCAGCCATCTAAGATACTCGACTGGTCTCACCCCTTCGGGAGCAAGGGAAAATGAAGAGAACAGGATAGAAGGAAAAGATTAGTCCAAACGACTACTGGACCACAGCTACCAAGGCCTCCACCAGACTGACTCCAGTACAGCTGGATGGTGCCCAGCTACCACCACTGACTGCTCTGACCGGGATCACAACGGAGGGTTCTGGACAGAGCTGGAGAAGGATGTAGAACAAAATTCTAACACACACAAAAAAGACCAGATTTACTGGCCTGAAAGAGTCTGGAGAAACCCTGAGAGTATGGCCCCCAGACACCCTTTTAGCTCAGTGGTGAAGTCACTTCTGAGGTTCACCGTTCAGCCGGGGAGT